CTACAAGAGACATTTAGATTAGATTTAAGCCCATATCTAGATTTGCACACCTTATAAGACCCCATATACTCAAATTTTAAATTATGAAAAATCCCATGAGCATTTGCTGCCCAAGCATATGTTGAATTTTCTCCATGGACTGAAAAAACTAATGTGGACAACTGCAATGGCTGCTAGCTTAATCATAAATAAAACTAAATAACAACTGTCTGCATTTGGCCCGTGGCACTCAGATTGATTTTAATTTTGGCCCTCTCAARGAAAATATTTGGGCGCCCCTGGTTTAAATGATACTTGGAGTAAATGTTTCAAGTTTAAAAGTATTTATAGAAGATAGATGGATTTTTTTTAATTATTTGTTGCTGCTTTTTATGATTTTAGCCTTCATTACTGCTCTCATATTTGTTTATAGCTAAGCAGTCAAGACTAAATCTTTTTTTTTGCCTAAATGGGAGCCCTGCACCAACCTAATAACAGTCTTAAAATAATTTTTGTTACAATTAACAAATGAACTCTTCTTCTTCTTCTTTATCCATTCAGTCGATTCCGACCATTGGTCACTCGATAGATCAACTGTCTCCAAGTACTTCTATCCTTTACTGCTTGTTTTAACTGTGAAGTGAACTCTACAAAACTCAATTGCAACACCCATTTTACTTATTAAATTTCTAACAAAAAAAAGTCATTCAATTTTCCAATCCATAACAATAAATTTACAGCAYTTAGATTTTTCAGTGATGGTTAAAAATGATTCAGTGACAGAGTGCTTTTAATTAATGCCTCCTTAAACCTTACATACAAACAAATGGAGTTTTAAATGGTAAATGGACTGTACTTGTATAGCACTTTTCTATCCATCCAGGACACTCAAAGTGCTTCACACTATCTGTGTCCTCATTTACCCATTCACACAGCACTCTATTAGGTCTCTACAAAGCTAACATGTACAATCAACTATGGAGACTAATCAGTGCCAGTCACATTCATACACTGATGGGACACATCAGAGGCATTAGGGGTGAAGTGTCTTGCCCAAGGACACAACAACTGAGACAGCTGGACAGGGGATTGAACCGGTGACCTTCCGGTTCCAGGATGACTCCCCTAACCACTCTGCCACAGCCGCCCCAGTGCATTAGTTAATACAACAGGTATTGTAATTTTACTTTGATTGCAGCAGGGTCATCAGCAGGTGTATATTACCCCTTCACCAGGGCCGGATTTAGGGGGATACGGGCCCCTGGACTTGAGCCAATAATGGGCCCCTCACACACACACACACACACACACACACACACACACACA